CACGATTTGTTACTGGACGTCGAGACGGGCAGTCAATCTAAACATCTCAGGTCTATTAAAAATTTGAGGTGAAAAATATATATATATACATAAATGGAAAAACGATGTAGAATTGGTGCCTACGGAGACTAATACGAATTCAGTTTTAAACAAAACAACGAACCAAGTCAATTACACAATTTCGTTCAACAAGATAAAGGTGAAGTTGTAATTATATCACTGGATTCTCCCCCTCCAATTGCACCCCTCCCGCCTAACTCATCCTCACCCTTTTAATCAATATCAATGGTTAAGGTGTCGAGGTTGCGAGAACGGTGCATTCCCTCCACATCCCCTCCCTTCCCGCCATCCCCACCGGCCCCTCCCTGTGGTGTCAGCGGTGATTGTGCATCACCTTTGCCAGTGCATAAAGACGGTTGCAACTGACTCCTTGCCACGCTCGGCCCAATATAAGATTCAGACTCGATCTCGGATCTGCCTTGCATTGCAGCATTTGTTATCAATAAACTCCCGTACGTGGCACCTGCATCCGACGGCAACGTCGTTGACACCTCGATGGGCGGGGACGATTGTGCCGCGGCGACCGAGATGGATTTTTCCGATATTTGCGTCATTGACGTCATGTCAACCTCTTGAGGCCCGACAACAGTAGTCCCGTCATCTCCCCTGTGCCCTGCTTGCGCGGCCACGGAGGCCGGCTCAGCCGAAGGCATGAAATCATGAGAGCAACTCCCCTCCAAGGTTTTGGTGGTTTGATCAACCTTCAAGTTGATTGACCCGCGTGAGGGACTCGAGCGCAGGGCATAAAATTTGTTGCTGTACTCCAGTTGCCGATTGTCGCGCAAGACATGGAACAATTCTTCGGCCTTGGCTTTGATGGCGGCCTCGCTCTGCCCTGAATTCTAGACGCGCACGCGATGCAGGATCGCGAGCTCCGTCATTTTCAACACGATGTCCTTTGACATCCGGCGAAAAGTCTTCCAACCGCTTGTGTATTTCACCGCCATCTTCCACTCCCCATCTTGGATGCATGGTTGTAAAACGCCCTCATGCCATATGATGTCATGGCCCCATTGATCCTCGACTGTGTGGGTGTGTTTGTCGTCCAAGAAATAAATCGTGTTCGGGTCAACACAGTAGCCTGGAGGAATTGCATCGCCTGGTGTGAGCGTCGACGTCTCGCGTGGTATCTCAATGTCGTCTTCTTCATTGTCACTGCATCTTCTATTGTCTTGCAATGCAGCAGTCTCCGACGGGGCCACCATTGAGGCGACGCTTGGGGCGGCCACCGGGATGAACCCTTCCTGCGAATGGGCAGTTCCGTCATCATGAGCTTGCACCATTCCTCCGCGCGGAACCTCAGCACATGTGTCCTCGCCCAGTTCGAGGTCGGAGTGTGAAGAATCTTCCTCGCTGTCGACGGGGTTAAAGCCATCGCCCGATTTCGCGAGCTCCTCGTAGTCCTTGGACGTCAATTGGTCTTTGCGAAGATCGAACTTGAGGATCTCGCATCGAGCAACAAAAGTCTCAAAGGCGCCGGTGAGAGCACCGTGATAATTGTTGAGTGTCTCTGTTGCCTTTGCTTTCCTGTATATATATTTTCCATCAAGCCGTCCTTGTGGCATATCGCGGAACAGGTACTCCCACACCTTCACTCTCTTAGGCCCCAACTTGTGGAACATGTCCCTATTCGGGCGATGTTTGCAACGCGGTTTTCCAACGTGGCAGTTGAATCTGTCGTCCTTGACAAGTATATCGATGAACTTTGTCAAGTATGCAATGTCCTTTGCCGACTCGTCACAGGCAATGACATTATTCCCTGCCAGTAAGAATTCCCACACAAGACCCACATGCGCCCTACCCAATAAAAGCACATCTTCCGCCTCCCCGACAAATGACCCGCATAACGAACACAACTTGCCAGGCTCTCGCTCCCAGATGGAATACACCACACTTTCATCGCCCTTTATGCCACCATGTTTCCCCAGACACTTCCCGAACTTGTCCTCCACAACATGCACGTTTGTGAGGTCATTGACAAGGCGGGGTGCGACCGTGACCTTTCTGAGATCCCCTCCCTCCACGTGCAGGACAATGGCCATCATGTCCTGACTCGCAGTCGTGATATTGCCATACCTCGTGACGTCATTCGATGGCCTGTCCACCCGTTTCCAGGTCCCGRGGATGAGTTCGATGTCCTCCCACTGGAATAAGCAACGCAGAACATCRCTTTGCACCTTCTGCGGTGCGAAGACAAAAARAACCCAATTAATGCCACAACACTTAGTCATCATAGAGTGCAGAGCGTCGAACTCTTGAGAGGTCCATGTCGTGCAGAAGTTAGCGGGGGAGATGTCAAGGATGACGGCCCTGCACGTYATTTTTTGCGYCGCAGCGACGATGTCGTCTGGCGCAGCCAGCACTTCCTTCAATGGCATGCACACCGGTAGCAATGTTGTTTGTTTTTTAAGTTTATCCCACACGATATGACCTGCGCTGGAGGCGACCYTTTTGACCTCTACCCGAAGCAGATCGAGCTTATCGATTGAGGTGTATACAAACACCTTAAAGTGGAAGGGAGCCTCCTTATACATTGCCGCCGTAGGTCCTAAGCCTGATCCTTGCCTTGCCTCCTCCACCCCTTCARGCCGTCGAGGGACCGTCTTCACTTTGCTGACATGCAGCTTGTCCCGTTCCTTCTCCCATTCAGCTGCACACAGACCGTTCGGCCCATACCTGTCTTCGAGGAGGCACTCCGTCCGCCCTTCCCTTGTTTGACATGAAGAAGGCATCATTCCACTCATCGTCCGCCCTTCCCTCGGCGTGAAAAACAACGTAGTTGAACATACGGACCATGTACTGTTCCTTGCGCATGATGTCGAGGAGGCACTCCGTATTCACTCTAAGAGGCATGACCTTAACGTTCGTCGCGACCACCTTCCCTTTCATGAGGAGGAGCAGTGCAACTTCCCTCTCGCGGCACGTCAAATCCCCAAAACTTTTGGGACCATCTCTCGCGTATATGCAATGGTATAATGTTCTTTGCCTATTCGTCTCGTCGGTGTACAGGCCTGGCTGGCGCCCCTCCATCCTACCCGGCATGTCAAGCGGTATTTTACCATCGCCAACTGGCAGCTTCCCCTCGTTGAACTTCTCGACCAGTGGCCACACTGCCTCGGTGGATGTGGCGAGGTTCATGTRRCCACGGAGTTTATTGCTCCAGTCCTTACTGTACTCATTCTCGAGTGCTTGCTTCACGAACGCCTTGTCGCATGCCTTCCGCATGGAGGCCCTTAAGAAATTCTGCCACTTCTTTTGGTGCGCAACGGCGACCTCATCCTTATCGCTGACCTTGCCTTTCGGGGCCTCGATTCGATGGTTATCGATCCACCATTGCCTCATATCAYGGACAGCATCCTCGAAGGACAACATCATGGCCCGATTTTCGCGCATGTTGTCGAAGGCGGAGACATTGAAATACCCTCGCGTCTGCTCATCTCCAAAATAGACGACCCGCACSTTAGASTACGCGCSAAGGCCATAGACGTCGACGGYCGGAGAGCCCTTTYTTACCAATGTCTTCATGGCCTCGACCGTATGCTAACCACAGACARCATACCAATCGAACTCCAAGRAGTTTCTTTCGAAGAATTCGGTCGGTGTTATCCGCCTACCCTGCCCGCCAACGATGTCGTTGCGGTCARCCRGCGCAAGCACGAGGTCAGGCCTATCCCACGCCCCTGGTTCCGTGGTGATGAAACTCTCGATGGCATTCACGATGCCTCGCACAATGTTCGCAGACAAAGAGCGGTGGTTGAAAAGAATATTCCCGTGGGGAATGCGTTTGATTTTCATGACGTCCACAAGAACAGGAAGGACTTTTTGCTTAGCAAAACCTCGCTCRTCGTACTCGAGGAAGAAACAACGCGTCGTGTCGATGGGCGCAGCGTGCTGAAGYGGATCATCACCATCGTCGGGCATGCGAGGGCCCACTCCCTCGCCCTCATCCCCTGAGTCCCGCAGTTCTTCTGCCCTCACTATCTGCTTACCTTTTCTTGCACCACCACGGCCGCCGTCACGACCGCCAGATCTTCYCCCCTGGCTGCTCTTCCAAGGAGGTCTCGCCTCCTGGGATGCCACCAGAGTTCCACGAGCCTCATTAAGAGCGTTTGTCCTCGCTTGTCTCTTGTGAGCGGAAGCAGAAGGAGAAGTTTCTCTTGTCCWTTTCCTCAACTTTGATCCTCCGTGCTCCTGCGAGTCATGCCCACCCTGACTCCCGCCTTGCGAATGCCATATCGCAGGGGACGACAAGGGCCGACCAACAGCCGCTCCCACAGAACCGGTGGGGATATCGCCAGGGCCATGCTCCGACGTGACACCGACGTCGTCATCGTSAAGCATGTTTTGGTCCTGCATGTTCYCATCCCCAACGTCCATATACTCGTCATTACCRTCGTCTTCACRTGGACCGCAACTTCCCCCATCTTCTTCCTCCTCGTTTCACTCAGTGAGGGCAGTCGCACGTTCCTGGGCACTGTCACGCAGAGCATTGCGTCCGTACAGATTTATGTCATCGTACTCGGTAGCYTCGCTGGAACATTGAGCGATATCGTGACCTCCCCTCACCGTGGACAAGGGCGAGGGCGACGCGGCTGGCAAAGGCGGAGCTRGACAAGCAGCCAACTGTTTCCTCTTCCCAACCGGCGCGGATGGCGTCTGTCGCGATTTCCTCAAGCTCGTGACAAAGGGCACGAAAGCGCAGTCGGCTTGCTGGTCCAGAGGCAGCCTCGAGAAGGCTTCCCTGTACTCCTTAACAATGCCTGGCAATTGGTCCGTCGGGCTGCTGAATTTCACCAAGGGTTTGGTGAGCTCCAAGGAACTTTCAACAACAGGAAGGCAGCCAGTGACGCGGTAGCCGTTCGTTCTACTGAGGAACTGTTCCGCAGTCAGCATGCGAAGCTCGGTGCCGTCCCCGCGCACGTCAAACGCTTTCATGGAGAAAGCCTTGATGCCGTAGCCTTGAAAGAGCCGCAAGTCAAGGCCGACCTTCTTGCCTTCCTTGACCCAATTTGTGCCATCCTTGTCGAAAACTGACGTAAGAAAGAAGGTCCTGAATGACCTCCTGTCGTAGGTATTCCTGGCGCTCTCAGATTTCTCAACACCCCCACAGCAGTACCACGTCGCACCATTGTCGTCGCTCAAGAAGACGACGGCCCCACACCCAGGCCTATGCAGACCACCAACCCAGTCCAGAGCCCATGGTTTCTTGTTGTAGATTTTTGACCTGCCATATGCCCGAGAGGACGAAGCAGCAGGTTGACCTAGAGGGCACAAACAAAGGAAACGCAACAGCAAAGAACAAATGAGGAACAAACAGAAGCGCTTCGCATATGGAGTCGACCCTCATTTCTGGAAAGGGGTCCGGCGTTCCCTAGACGCCCGCCCCCTGACCCTCGTTTCTGAAAGGGGGTCCGGCGTTCCCAGAATGCCCGCCCCCCTCGGGGCATTTATGAAAGGGGGTCATTTGCTCCCAGAACGCCCGACCCCCCACCCAATCTGAAAAGGGGTCCGGCGTTCCCTAGACTCCCGACACCCCGACACCCCGGCCCTCGTTCCCTAGACGTTCGGCGTTCCACGACCGTAGCGTGCGAGGGTCTGGCGTCCCTCAAATAGCAAACCCCACCAGCGTGCCTGTCGGCACGGTAGTTGGCCGGACCCCTCCCTCCCCCTCCCTGTAGCAGCACCGAGGGGGGTCCGACGTTCCCGGAACGCCAGACCCATGTCGGTACTGCCAGAGAGTAAGGGGTCCCCTCCCTCCCCGTCGCCGGCAACAGCACCAAGGGGATCCGGCGTTCTGGGAACGCCGGACCCCTTTTGAGCTGCGGGGGAAGAAGTGGGTCCGTTCGCACCCCTCGATGGCCACAGCACAAAGGGGGTCCGGCGTTCCCAGAACGCCGGACCCCCTATGTGCGGCGGGGGAGGACAGGAACGCCGGACCCCCTTTGTGGCGCGGGGGAGGACGGGGGTTCGAGATCCGATCCGACGATGGGCATAGCATGAAGGGGGTCCGGCGTTCCCGTAACGCCGGACCCTCTTTGTGCTGTGGGGGATGAAGGGGGTCCGCCCCATCCCCTCGATGACCACAACACCAAGCCCCCTCGGTGCCCCTCACTCCCCCGAAGCGCGAAGGGGGTCCGGCGTTCCGGGAACGCCGGACCCCCTTCGCACTGCAGCGGGGAGAGGGGGGGGGGG